GGCCTCAGGCCACCCGGGGGCTTTTGAGACGGACATGGGAACGGAGGAATTTTTACAGTTCCCATTCGAGAATGACCCTCGGGTCCTTGAGTCAATAGATGACGAGACTTTTCCGTTTGGACTGGCGTCTACGAATATGTTTCGGAGATCGAGCCTTCCACTTGCTCCAGATAGAAGACAGGGTCGGCCAAAGTACAGGGACCCCACCGATGGGGATCGAGACGTCGCAGTGGGGCATGCTGCTTTATTTAGAGGACAACGATTGTATGTGACCGCGGAAGAACGAGAAAGCATACTTCAGGCTACGCCTGAGCCTCTAAAGCAGATGCTCCAGGACGCCCATATTACGGGCCCTGTACCACCGCACATAGAAGCCATCCGCAGTCGAACAGGAATTACGCTTCGATACATGGCAGAGTTTGTGGAAGACCCGATATTTGCAATATTGGCAGGTCTCACTCAGGACGACGGATCTTTTGCACAAGCAAAAGATTACATTAGAGCCGAGTTTCATTCCGATGACGTTCCAGGCGGATTTACTCTTGGTGCCTATGCGTGCCTGCAGCCACTTATAGTGGAGAAGATGATGATGAGAACCCGGCTGCCTTAGGCAATTCGGACACCTGGAGTGGCCTGAGCTTTCGATCGGACGATATGACCAAAAGGATAGGCCAATGTGCTGTATACATCGCGAGGCATTGCTCCGACTATGCTAGATCGTCGGGGGGCTGGGTCTACTTTGGATACCTGGTTCAAAAGCTACATGGCGATGGTTTTACATTCCAATCGTGCGCCTTGGCCGCGCATAGCTTAGCTGCGTTGCCGCCGGGGACGGTCGAAGTTTTAGGATTTTTTCCCAATGTTAGCCCCGGGATTGCTGGGGCACAAATCAACGCAATGTGGGAGAAACATATGAGAGGATCATTACAAGAGGACAACGGAAGAGAGATGCCAATACCCGTATTTTATAGGGCGTGCCAGGGACATTCAACGCTCGCTGCTTCAATCGAAAGAATGTATGTCCCGTGCGACCCTGGCCAAGTCAGAAGTCACGGATCCCTTCTCCATATTACAGACTTGCAGACGTTCTTGGAATCTACGAGTGGACATGTTCGCTTCCCAAAGAGCGACTCTGGGCTTTGTTATGCCGCACATTACGACTTGTTGCGTTTGCTTCCGGCACACAATAGTCCATCCATGCCTAATCCCTCGCATTTTCCTCCGTGGCTAAGCCGACGGAGATATGGGCAGCCACTCGCCCCAAAAACTCTATAGTATCTATGGGCTACCCAGCTCGGGAAGGGGGGCCGCCATCGGCGGGGACTTGGCATGCGGGCGACACACACCACCTATGGCCACGTCTCCCCAATCACAAGCAATGGGATATTATTCTTGTTTTTACCGGCAGAGTGCTCACCCGCTTCTCACACAGAGTTTGCCCAGACGGGACATTGGTGCCCCGGGAGGTGCCGAAATTCACGGACATCGGCAGAGCCGTCTCCCTCGTGAGACGAGTAGATCAGATGCGCTGGACGGTATTCTTTGACTGCGAATTGTCTTCGCACGAGGTCACCTTCGACGGCGCGTCGATCATTGCCTGGGTTAGTACAGACGACAGAGTAATCATTAATTGGAACCACGAACCAAGGTTGGAGACCGCGATCCAAGATCGAATTATACCTGTCCCGTGGGAGGATGATGGGAGATTCCTTTGTTTCCGATACCACTGGGTGCGGACAAGGTTTTGCCAATGGTCCCGTCTGCAATTGCCCAGTCAGATATGCAGGGTCACGCATGATTACATGACCCAGACATGGAAGCGCAGAAGTCCCTTGAGGCACACGGTATCTGGATAATAGTGGACGAGGAAGCAACCCTGTCATGGAATCGCCACGAATACATGGAAGCGCGGATAAAGAGACAAGGGAGCGAAAAATGTCAATAACAACAATCAGCAGGAGCGAAAATGTGCCTCCAGCTTTGCTACATCGGCGGCCGCTGGCACGATATTTGGCAACAGCCAAATTGGAAATTTTCCAGCTTGGACCCCGGAACACGCCGAGGCTCAGCCTCCGGCGCGACATGCTCCTTTCTTCCAATATTTGAAGCCTTTGGTCAATATATTTATAGCGTGGCTTGAATATTCGGCCAAAAACGTACGGAGGCAAACCCCGTCCATGAATAATAAATGGTGGCCGAAATTGTGGGCAACTGAGTTTGACCAATGCGCTCGCCCGAGATCCCGCCCAGCCTTACAGGCATTTCACTGGCCTGACGAAGTGGATGACTTAGTCACTCCTCGAATCGGCTGGGAAAGATGGTTCGACAACATGACTAGAGCCGGCATCTTCGTTCCTACGCTTGCTACAGTAGATGATGCGATACAGTTCGGCAGATCTTGGTTCGGCGCAATGCCTGAGGAAAACAGAAACAACGCCGACAACGCCAACCCTCCTGCGAGGTTACAAGTCGCCTGGGAGAATAATTCTAAGGCGAGGCCGACTCGCAGTTCTCAGTCTGTCTCAAGAAGGATTAGCATGTGTCGGGGCCATCGTCTTATTGTCCCCGTATTGCGACATGCCACCGGCTCAGCCGCGATGGCACGTGAGCTGGCACAAATGGATCTGGATCTCAAAGCGATTAGCGGGCCTAAGGCCGCGTTGATAACTGATGGACATTTCACTCTTGACCACTCTGAGGGGCACGTATACTCTCACCATGATGACCCTTCGATCAAAATAACATTGTTCGGGAGAGAGGTTCGAAACATTGCTGCCCATTACATAATAGAACACACGGGATTAAATCCTACTACCCCCGGCAGGGTTACCCGGACAGGCACGGCAGAATACGCGATCCCGGAGATCATCCAGACTATAGTACATGACATTTGGTTAGTACCAGTACAACAAATGCAGCTGGGCCTTCGGCCCATAAGGATTTTCGCAGTTATCCGTGAGATAATCAGCTATTGTATGTCTGAGAATCACTTTATCGGCTTTCCGGGGCGAATCATTCGTCCCGATATGGTGAGCACAAAAGAAATTGGTTCAAAGAAGCGGACCGACGAATGCGCCTTGGCCTTGGACTGCCGCATTCGCGCGGTTGTTAAGACAGACGACATTGTAGAGAGGTGGGCCCACAAGATGGGCAGGAGAGTGCAGAACGACGTCCGTTGCCACGGTGCTCTCATACAGGACGCAATTCCTTGGCTACAGGATAAGTTTCCTGATTCCGATGCCGATCTCCAGGACAAAGAAGATGGACCCTTCCGCACTGCATGCGGATTATATGGTGCCGTTTGAGCGACTGCTGCCAGAAGTATAGTACAATTTATGAACGATCGAAGGAACAATGATCCTGAGCACGACGGCGAAGCCGAAATCGTGGGGCCACATGCGCCCGCTGGACCGAAGGCCAGACCTTTGTCGCGCCCGCCGCCTCTTCGAACTGGCATCTCAGATGCTCAGGTATCCGAAGAAGTTGCTGGATCCCCCCGCTCAGTCGCCGGCTCAGCCGCGACGACCAGGGAGACAAACCTACAACATCCCAACTCGGGGGATCGGGCGGAATCACGCGCGCGCGATGCTGCCATGGATGCTGCCGCTAGTGCTGACATGGATGCCGCCGCCGGCGCTGCCATCGACGCCGCCGCAGGGGCAGCCGCGGACGCCGCCGGCAGCGACGCAGGCCACAGCTACGAGCACGACTCTGGCAGGTCTTACCCGCGTTACGTGAACGGAACCCTCGTCGGGTACTACATCCACCGTAACCGGGCCACGTGGCTTACCAGCGAGGATTGGCATGATCTGCGTCACTGACACGAGCTGCCAAAATGGGAGCATGACTACCACTTCCCGCCGAGAGGAACGGCACCTATGAGTGATACTGACAGAGAAAGTGGGCGGTCTCGCACGCCTCGTGGCATGGGCGCACAGACGGGAGGATCGGCGACTTCAAATCCGCCGCCTCCGGCACCGCCCAGGCGAGAGACCGAGTACAACCCGTTTGAGGACCTGAACTGAGTTTCGCCCGCGTGACTCCGTCGCGGCAGGCGCGTGCAAACAATTTTACCCACGCGTGAAGCGTGTTGGGCGCGGACCTCTCTACTGGTCGGCTAAGCCGGTCCAACGGGGAGAAAATATTTATCACAATGGTGGGAAACGTCGAGCCTCTTCGGCCCTTGGCCCCCTGGCAGCCACCGTTGAGCCGTAAAAGCTTTTTCGGGTTGGCTCCGGTGGTTGTGCAAATGCACAGGCCGGGGGTGCTGTGGCTGGATGGCCTCTACGCGGCCCGCCGCGGGGGGAGTAAATATGCTCCTCTCCGCCTCATATTCAATTAGAACTTTATTTAGTTTTTATGCAATGCGCTGTCCGCTTGAACTGAAGCTGCGTTTCCGAAGCCATGCGACTGCTCGAGCCAGCCGACCTCGGATGGCAGGAGAGAAAAGGAGCGCGCTGGGGCGCGCGGGCGGCTCGTCGTCGTCCGTCCTCGGACGACCTCCTCCCTACCCATTCCTGATGGAGTAGTCTTGCTTAACGGATACTTGTCTTATCAATGTCTCATCCCGTCCCCTCTCTCCCTGAGCAGAGTGCACATGGGATCTTGATTCCTTTATCATCTTACCCCGATTCTCAGAGGAAAGACTGGTATGGAAACCCATGAGGGAGCACTCGGGGAATAGAGGGAGAGAGAGAGAGAGAGAGAGAGAGAGAGAGAGAGAGAGAGAAAGAGAGAGAGAGAGAGAGACACACACACACACACACTCACATGCACGCATGCACACACACCACACACACATACGCACGCCGATGCGGACAGTCTGTCCTGGCGCCTGCAGGCCTGGCGGGGCTCGCGCCCAGCGCTTGGGGCTGGCGCGTCAGCGAGCCGTCTTGGAGGCCCTTTGGGGGCATCTTTAACGGGGGAGCCGATGGAGACCATTCCAAACGGCCTGCTGGATCAGCCGAGACCCCATTCGGAACCTTTTGGAAGGACCAGAGTGTTCACTAACCCAACACGCCAAACACCCCCTTGCAAGCAGATGGGGGCGACGGATCGAAAGCGCTTGCGGCGAGACACCGCCGCCCCCTGCCTTCCTGGAAACGCCGCGCCGATGTGGCCAAACATCGGTCCAAAGTCTGGCAAAGATATTGGACGATGTGCCCCCACAGCCATGGTGGAACCCTTTCGGAGAACACTTGGGGGAGGAAGAGAGAGAGAGAGAGAGAGAGAGAGAGAGAGAAAGAGAGAGAGAGAGAGAGAGAGAAACGAGGACAAAAGGGAGAAGAAAAACGGCCAACAGCTTCAGGCATCTTAACGGCCTTTTGGGCCGTCTTGAGCCGTCTGGGCCATCTTGCGGGTATCTTGAGCCATCCTAGAGGCATCATGGGAGCATATTAATCAATTTTGGCCGTCTTGGAGGCCCTCCTGGAGCCATCTTGGGCGTGAATTCCAGATGGCTGGCGGGCTGAGCCGGAGATCACCCGGATTTTGTGGAAGGGTTACAAGGGTCAGGTGGACTTCAGCACGTCAAGCACCCATCTTCCAAACAACAGGGGGCGGCTAATGTAGCAGCCTTCTGCCCGTGCGCCACTGTGCCTGGGTTGTCGGCCAGAGGCCTTTTGGATGCTTGTGGCGGTCTCTTGGGGTGCCTCTCGGGTGCCTTTTGTAGGCCTCTGGAGGGGATCCTTGGAGTTTGGGGGGCCTCTTGGGGGCCCTTTGAACCGCTTGGGTATTTCTGGAGGGCTCTCAAGTGTATGTTGGGTGTCTTGGGGGCCCTAGTTGGGGATAGAGGCCCCCAATACCTCTTCGCTTTCCCCCTCTTGGGGCCCTTCTTGAGGCCTCGTGGGCCGTCTTGGGGGCTGCCTGGGCCGTCTTGAGGCCCTCTTGGGAGCATGTTTGATTGTCTTTGGGCGATTTTGGAGGTGTCTTGGGCCGTCTCAGGCGCTCTGAAGCCCGACAATAATGCTAGGATCATTCAAACACCTCAGGAACATCAACGATGTGGTGCTGCTGGGGCCATCTTGGGAGTAATCTTGGACTTGGGGCATCTCGGAGCGCTCTTGGTCTGTATCGGAGCTCCTTGGACAGTCCTGGGGCCCTTTTTGGAGCCGCTTGCCTTCTTTGGGGGCTCTCTGGCCTCTCGGCAAGGTGGGCTCTGGGCCACATGCAGAGTATTCAGGGTACCCACTACAAAGAGCTTCAAGGGACCTCAGGACACTCCTCTCAGTGCCGACGGCTCAGTGGCAGATATCCACGGCGCTCGCCCACACAGTGGCTAGAAGCCCGCTGGTCGGCCTCCAAGCTGGCTGGGCTGCGTCGCTTAGTGGCATGTGCCACACATACCTCTGAGAACTGCGCGCAGGGCTCAGATGCTAAAAAGTCAGCAGCACCATCCCATCAGAGCTCTCAAGAGCCGAACTGCGATGTTCGCACTTTTTATGCCATTCCGTTCTTTATGTCTTGCCGCACGATTTCTTTTTATGGCATTTGTCTGTCTGCCATCATCATCACCACCACCACCATCATCATCATCATCACCACCACCATCATCATCATCACCATCATTCTCATCTGCCACCATCTCAGCCTCTTCGCCTCCACCTTATTCGCCCGATTGTCGTTGTCGTCGTCTGCCACCGTCTAAGTCATTCTAACCATCCTCCCACCTGATCCGCTTGGTCGTCGTACTCTCCGTGCCCTTCTTCCTCCCTTCTTCCTCATCCTCCACGTCCTCTACAGTAGCACCGCTCGCCGCCTTCAAGTCTCGATGTCAACATCAGAGGCAACATCATCATCGTGAATAGCCGGTCAGGCTCAAAGGCCATTTTGGCTCTCCCACACCCCAACATCTCGGCTGGCAATCCCCTCCCGCTGCGAGATGCGGTGTGCCTTCGTCGCGGCCTCCCTGCTCGGGGCCGCCACCCTCGGGTCTGCCAAGGACGATGAGAAGAAGATCGACGGCCCCGTCATCGGGATCGACTTGGGGACCACCTACTCTTGCGTCGGCATCTACAAGAACGGCCGCGTCGAGATAATCCCCAACGACCAGGGAAACCGCATCACCCCCTCCTACGTCGCGTTCACGGACGAGGAGCGCCTGATCGGTGAGGCCGCCAAGAACCAGGCGACCATCAACCCATCACAGACGCTTTTCGACGTGAAGCGCTTGATCGGGCGTCGCTTCAAGGATTCCACGGTACAGAAGGACATGAAGTTGCTGCCGTTCAAGATCGTCGACAAGGGTGGGAAGCCTTTCATCAATGTGAAGGTGAAGGGAGAGGCCAAGGACCTGCAGCCGGAGGAGGTCTCCGCCATGATCCTGACGAAGATGAAGGAGACTGCCGAGAATTACTTGGGCAAGGAGGTCAACCACGCAGTGGTCACCGTGCCAGCGTATTTCAACGACGCGCAGAGGCAGTCCACGAAGGATGCGGGCACCATCTCTGGTATGAACATCCTCCGCATCATCAACGAGCCTACGGCAGCGGCCATCGCGTACGGTCTGGACAAGAAGACCGAGAAGAACATCCTCGTGTACGATCTGGGCGGTGGCACCTTCGACGTCAGCTTGCTCACCATTGACAATGGCGTGTTCGAGGTGGTCGCCACCAGCGGCGACACGCACCTGGGCGGCGAGGACTTCGACCAGCGCGTCATGGCGCACTTCGTCAAGATCTTCCAGAAGAAGCATGGCAAGGACATGTCCAAGAACCAGAAGTCTATCCAGAAGCTCCGCCGCGAAGTCGAGAAGACGAAACGTGCCCTGAGCTCCACGCAGCAGGCCCGCATCGAGATCGAGGGACTCTTCGAAGGCGTGGACTTCTCCGAGACGCTTTCGCGCGCTCGCTTCGAGGAGATCAACGCCGACCTGTTCAAGAACACCATTGGCCCCGTCAAGCAGGTCTTGGATGATTCTGGCCTCAAGAAGAACCAGATCGACGAGATCGTGCTCGTCGGCGGCTCCACGCGCATCCCGAAGGTGCAGCAGCTGATCAAAGAGTTCTTCAACGGCAAGGAGCCGAACCGTGGTATCAACCCGGACGAGGCGGTGGCCTACGGAGCCGCTGTGCAGGCTGGCATCTTGAGCGGCGAGGGTGGCCAGGATCTCCTTCTGCTCGACGTCACTCCTCTCACGCTGGGTATCGAGACCGTCGGAGGCGTGATGACCAAGCTGATCGGCCGGAACACTGTCATCCCGACCAAGAAGTCGCAGATCTTCTCCACCTACCAGGACTGGTGAGGGAGGAGGAGGTGGAGGACGGAGGAGGACGGAGGAGGACGGATGAGGATGAGGAGGAGGAGGGATGAGGAAGAAGAGGAGGGATGAGGAGGAAGAGGAGGAGGGGGAGGGGGCAAGTTAGGTGCGCTCGCGTCAACATCTGACATCTTACCCCTCCCTCCCATCCCTTACCATGGCGCTGATTTTCTCTATCCGCGGACGCGTGTCGTAGCAGACCTGTGGCTCCGCGCGCGTGTGCGTAGTGGGTGGTGGTGCGCGTGCGTGCGTGCGTGTGTGCGTGGTTGTGGTTGTTGTGGTGGTGGTGTGTATGTGTGTGTGTGTGTGCGTGTGTGCGCGTGTGCTGTGGTGTGACGTGGTGTGGCGTCTTGGTGGTTTGGTGGTGGGCCAGGTGCGTACGTGCGTGATGGCGGTGGTGGTGGTGACGGTGGTGGTGGTGTGTGTGTGTGTGTGTGTGTGTGTGTGTGTGCGTGTGTATGTGTGTGTGTGTGTGCGTGCGTGCGTGTGTGTCTGTGTGTGCGCGCGTGTGATGTGGTGTGACGCGGTGTAGCGTGGTGGTGGTGGTGGTGGTGGGGTAGTGCGGTGGTGGTGGCGGTGCGCGGTGGTGGTGCGCGTGCGTGCGTGCGTTGGTGGGTGGAAGTGGCGGTGGGTGTGCGTGCGGCGGGGCGGGGCGTGGTGCGGCGCGGTGGTGGCCGGCGGATGGGCGCGCGAGAAAGAGGCCCGCACTGGGGCGAGAACGCCATCCTGAACGACGGAGGCAAAACATCGATCCGAAAATGAGGCCCACGCTGCAGCGGGAGCACGATTCGGAACGATTCGGGAGCAGAAATGAGGCCGGCGCCTCAGCGAGAGCAGCATTTTGAAAAAAAACGCATGCGAAAACCCAACTCCCGGCAATCCTGCGTGTAAAAAACAATACGCGGGGGGGGGGGTCTACTACTCCCAGCACGCCATCAGGGGAAGAGGGAGAGTAGTATTCATATTGAGTAATTGTGGAGAACGAGGAGGAGGATTCAGGACAACCAGCCGGCAGTGAACATCCAGGTTTTCGAGGGCGAGCGGCCCATGACAAAGGACAATCACCAGTTGGGCAAGTTCGAGCTCGGTGGGATCCCACCTGCGCCGCGTGGTCAGCCGCAGATCGAAGTTACTTTCGAGATCGACTCCAACGGCATTCTGGCTGTCGGCGCCCAGGACAAGGGCACTGGCAAGGAGGAGAAGATCACAATCACCAACGACAAGGGTCGGCTGACGGAGGAGCAGATCGAGAAGATGATCAAGGAGGCGGAACAGTTCGCGGACGAGGACAAGAAGGTCAAGGAGCGCGTGGACGCCAAGAACGCGTTCGACGGCTACATCCACTCGATGAGGTCCGCGACTGAGGGCTCTGGCGAGAACAAGGGCCTGAGTGAGAAGATGGACTCCGAGGAGAAAGAGAAGATCCTTGACGCCCTCAAGGACGGGCAGTCCTGGCTGGACTCCAACCCCGAAGCCGAGCCCGAGGAGATCAAGGAGAAGCACAAGGAGGTGGAGAACATCTGCGCCCCCATCGTCTCTAAGTACTACGGCTCCGGGGGCGGCGGCGGCGGCGGCGGCGACGAGGAGGACGAGGACGAGGCGCACGACGAGCTGTGAGTCCGCCCGGCGGGCTGGCCTGCCTCATGGAATGCTGGGTCCTTGGAATTGGCTGTGTGAGGCCGGGGGTCAATGAAGGAGGGGGGAAACCTTGGCGACGTTGAGTGAATATTCGCATTTTCCGTCAGGCCGCGCTGAAGGCGCCAGACAGCTTCGCATTTTCCGTTTGCAGTAGAGCGGAGAAGGTTTTGCCGTAGCCGTCGGTCGGTTGCCGAGGTGCAGCGGCTGAAGTTACGTGTGCATTCTCTGCGTCTGCTCTGCTGTTGTGCTGCGCACCCCTGATGTGGATCCTTGGACACAAGTCCCCTTTTCCATGTTAGGGCGGTGGGGTTCTTGATTCAGGCTCGCTTCTTTCACCCCCACCAGGCCTCGAATTATCGAAGACGCCTACGGCCAGTCACCGCTGCCCCCTGCCTTCCTGGAAACGCCGATATGGCCAAGCGGTTGGACCATATGCTCCCCCGGCCGGTGTGGAAACCCTTGGGGGGCAACAGGTGGGGGAGGAAGAATATATAGCTATCCCTAACAGCAGCAACGCACTACTGAAAGGCTCCTCGAAACTATGCCGAAGGAGGTCGAGGAGGGAAAAGGATGATGACTCAGATGACGATGTCGGCGCTGTGTGTGCGCGCCGCGATTTATCCGTGCTAAGTTCTACTCTGATGATATTCCTGAAGGATCTACTCCTCAGTCCATTAAGTGCTTGAAACCATTAGTTGTTGGGGGTCGATGACCCTAATAACCCGGCTGCCCTAGGCAGTGCGGACTTTTGGAGACCTCAAAGTTACCGATTAAACGAGTTCGCTCTGCACATCGGTAACTGTGCAGCGTATCTCGCGAGGTATTGCTCTGATTACGCGAGGTCCTCAGGGGGCTGGGTCTACTTTAGTGACCTGGTGGAGAAGATCGCCGAGGACGGATTCAGCTATCAGACATATGCCCTTGCTGCACACGGCCTAGCCGCGTTGCAGCCGGGAGCCGTGGAGGTCCTCGGGGTGCACCCTGCTGACAGTGACAGCATCGAGGGAACGAACATTCACACCATGTGGCAAAACTACACGGCGTGGCCCTCTCAAGTGAAGGAAAGAAATGCAACTCCTATTCCTGTTTTCTATCGAGTGTGCCAGGGACACTCCACTTTTGTTGTTTCAATTGAGAGAGTGCATGTCCCTTATGACCCTGGCCAAGCCAGGAGTCACGTGCCTCTTCTCCATATCACCGACTCGCAGACACTGCTGGAGTCAGCAGTCGGAGAAGTTCAGTTCCCAAAAAGAGACTCGGGACTTGTCTCGAGGCAGCTTACGACTTGCTGAGGCTTCTCCCGACCAAGAAGAATCCGATCATGCGAGAGGAAGATCACCTTCCTTCGTGGCTCAGCCAACGGAGGTATGGCGAACCTGTCCCCGCAAGAGAGTTTGCGGCCGTGGGCAATGTTGCGCAACCAGGAGAGCCGCTATCGGTCGGAGCATGGCCCGCAGAGGACACAGTCCGTCTGTGGGAACAGCTTCCGAATCACAGGGATTCCTGGCCGTTAATTCTTGTTTTCAGCGGCCGGGTTCTCACCCCCTTTTCGTACAGGATTTCCCAGGATGGGACTCTTGTGTCCCGTGAAGCGCCGAAGTTCACTGACATTGACAAAGCCGTCAGCCTTGTTAAAATTGGAGACTCGCAGGATCCTAGAGATAAGCAAATCTTTTGGTCCATCGTTTTCAACCACGAGTGGGCATCGTACGAGGCAGACTTTGATAACAACTCAATGGTCGGTTGGATTCACACGGGCGAGACGTTGTCTTTGATCCCAGGCCACGTGCCTCAATTGTTACCCGAGCGCAAGCACTCATTCAGTCTGTCCCATGGAGGGGCGACGGTTGGTTCCTGTGCGCTAATTATCACTGGGTAAGAACTGGCTTTGGACATTGCCCCCCCTGCAGCAATCCGATCAACTATAAACGCAGAGTTACTCACGACTACTTGCTCCAGACATGGAAAGATGAAGTTATTCCGAAATCCCTTAAGGAACGCGGCATTTCGTTGCACGTTGATAGACCCCGCGAGCTTCCTAATGACCGCGCCGGCTGGACGGGGGCGCGGGTAGAACGACAGCGGAGAGCCCCTGCGGATGTAATATGCAACATCAACAACAATCTGCAGCAAGAGCGCAAGTGGGCAGCCGGTAATCAATATTCACGCTTGGCTGCTTCAGGTCAAACCTTCGGAAACAGCCGGACAGGTAGTTATCCTGCCTGGATTCCAGACCACGCCGCGGCCCAGCCGCCGGCGCGTCGCGGTCCTTTCTTTCAGTACCTTGATCCCTTGAAGAGGCGATTCATTAAGTGGCTCGCAGACTTGGCTGCGAGACACAGGACAAGAGTCCCTCCGATCGCAAACTGGCGGCCCTTGCTTTAGGCAACGGACATTGACCAGTATGCGCGACCAATGTCTTGCCCTGCTCTGGCCGCCTTTGAGCGGCCAGAAGCACCCGACGCACTTCATGAACCAGTAGAAGGTTGGGACAGATGGGAGCGCACAGTGAACAGTCAGGGAATATTTGTGCCAACGCTGCAGACATTGGAAAACGCGAGGGCTGGGACAGCACCGCGGCTGCCCGTTGAACAGGGCAACGCCATGGACACCACAGGGCACAGCCCTCGTGGACGTCCACCGGTTGCCTGGGCAGATAATTTTGTGGCACGGCCCCGCCGTGGTTCGCGGTCTGTTACCAGGCGTGTCAATTCATGTTCTGACCACCGATTGATTTCAGGACTAGTCCAATCTGCCGCCGGTTCAACCGAGACGGCAGGTGAGGAGAATTTGCAAGTGACGCTTGACTTCACCGCAGTCAGCGGGTCCAAGGCCGAGCTGATAATTAATGGGACGATTGATCTCGATTAACCTAGTGGGCATGGATACTCACATTGCGAAGACAATTCGTTGAACATCACATTGACCCACCCAGCTCGAGGCCAAGGCAGTGGCGGCACAGTATGTCATGGAATACAACAGTGTCCGCCCGGGGACAAGTGACCCCAATCGATTACAACTGTCGGGTGCAGTAACGCATGAAATCCCGGATATCGTGCGGGACGTCATTAATGAGAACTGGAAAGTTCCAGTTTCGGAGATGCAATTGGGTCTCCGCATAGTGCGCGTGATCGCTATCATTCGTGAAATCACTAGTAGTTTTTTTACCGAAGGGCATTATATTGCGCACCCTGGGAGTACCGCTCTTGCCCCGCGCGGGAGCTCAGACCCCGCCAATGAAAAGCGACAAGACGCATATGCCATTGACTGTCGCATTCGCACTGCGGTTCACACGGATGATCTCATTGAGGAATGGGCCCGTAATTTGGGTAGACAGGTCCGCGCAGACATCCGCCGCCAGGGCGCGAAGCTGCAGGGGGCCATTTATTGGCTTCAAGATAAGTGCGAGGACGACGAAGTGGAGCTTCAAGATAGAGAAGAAGGCCCCTTTCGTACTGCATGCGGAAATTTGGCTTTCCGATTGCTACCGCTGCAAGAGAGATTCTTATATTCACTCGAGATCGAGAGACTAAAATTAGCGAAAGCGGAGGCGCCGCTGGGCCCCCGACGGCCAAGCATATCTGGAGGGGCCGACACGACCAGATGTTTTGGCAAAAGCAAGGCCGGTTCTGCCACCTCCACCTCGTAGACCTGACGTCCAAGACGATCGGGCTCGCGACGAAGTCACCGAATCTCCGTTCTCGGCCAGCGGCCCAGCCGCTTCGGCAGGTGAAGAGTACTCATGGTATTCGTCGGTTGACACACGGGATTGGTCGAGACCCCCGCGCGCGCGCGATGGTGCCATGGATGTCGGCCGCGGCGCTGCAGGCTACGACCCGATGATCCACTACCCGAACTACGCCAATGACGTCCAATATGGATACTACGTTCATCGTGACCGCATTTACTGGATGACCGACAATGTCTGGTGGCCCCGAACGTGGCATATACTGTCTCTGACAGAGTACGACAACTACTTCCCGACGAAGGGGAAAGAGTCCAATAACAAATGCAATCGCAACGGAACAGCGTATCACGCTGGCCGCGGCAAGGGATGCAGATCCCGCTCGCCCCGTGAGTATGGAGGTCGACCGGGGGGCTCATCGTCTTCGCGCCCGAGACCTCCCACTCCGCCATCAAGGGGCAATCCATGGGAAGGACTGAGTTGGGCCAGGCCCGCGCGACCCAGCCGCTGCAGGCAATGCCGAGCGACAAAGTCGCATCGGCCGAGAGAATTAAAACGATCGACAAAGTCGCATCGGCCGAGAGAGCTCTACCGATCGACAAAGTCGAATCGGCGAAGAGAATTATTTTATCTAACAGTGGGAGTCGTCGGGCCTCTTCGGCCCTCAGCCCCCTGGCTGCCGCCGTTGAGCTGTAGAAGTTTTTTTTTGTTGTGGTTGGCTCCGGTGTTTGTGCATGTGCACAGGCTGGGGGTGCTGTGGCTGGATGGGCCCTGCGAGGCCCGCCGCGGGGGGAGTAAATCTGCTCCTCTCCGCCTCATCATAATCTTGCTTCTCTCGCTGCCTGCCTTGCAGCGCACTGTCTGTGCCGTTGCTGCGGTGCCAGCCCGCAGCTGTCTGCGCTCGAAGGAAAGACAGGAGCGAGCTTGCCTTCGGCCGCCCCGCGTCGTCGGTCGTCGGCCGGCCGGCCTCCTCCCTTTCTAATCCTGAGTACAATGGCTTACCGGTTAGCCATTATCTTATCGATGTTTCTTCCCGTGCCCTCTACCACTGAGCAGAGTGAACGTGAGACCTTAATTCCTTTGTCATTTTTTCCCGATTCTCAGAGGAAAGACTTTGGAACCGCCTGGGAGCTTCTCATTGGAGGCTTCTTGGGGGCCTCTTGATATCTTGGGCGGTATTGGCGCCATGTTAGGCCGTCTTGGAGGCATCGTGGGGGGCGAAGTTATCGGGCCATGTATTCGCCGAGTCGGTGTGGAACGCCTTCGGGGAACACGTGGGGGCGGGGGAGAGTAAGAGGATTAGAAGAGAAGGGGGGGGATGCCTCTTCGGAGCCTCTTGAGGCACCCTTGGGCTCGATTGGGCCATCTTGGGACCGTCTTGGAGACCATGTTGGAGCCTCTTGAAGGCCTCTTTGGGCCTTTTTGGGAGTTCTCGGGGGCCCTTTGGCCGCCTTAGAGCGCTCCTGGCCCGTCTGGCGCCGTCGGGGGCCGTCTTGGGGGCCTCCCTGAACGGGCTTGGGGCCCTCTTGGGGCGCTTCGAGGCCGTCTTGGAGGCCATCTTGGGCGTCTTGGAGGCCTTGTGGCCCGTCTTGGGGCCCTCTCGGGGCCGTCTTAGGGGGCCTCTTGGGCCGTCATGGGGCCAGATTGGAGGCGTCGTGGGCGATCATGGGGCGATGTTGGGGGCCTCTTGGGCCGTCTGAGCAGTCGGAATGCCGAGAAGAAGCGAAAGCCCAAATCCTTCAACGACCTAAGGACAATCAATGATTTGGGCCTCTTCGGGCCCTCTTGCAGGCCTCTTGGGCCGTCTTGGAAGCATCTGGGGGGCCTCTTGGGCCGTCTTGGACTCTTGGACTCTCTTGGGCCGTCTTGGAGGCCGTCTTGGACCATCTCGGGCGAAGTTGGAGGCCATCTTGGACCATATGTGAGGCCATTTTGGGCCAACGTGGTCATCTTGGCGTCATCTTGAGCCATCTTTGAGGATTTATGAGGAGTCCTCTTGGGAGCCTCTTGGGCCACTCTAGGGTTCTATTGGGCCATCTCTGCGGTCTTGGAGGCATCTTGGGATTGTCTCAGAGGCCATTTGGGGGTAATCTTGGGGTCTCTTGGGGGCATCTTGACCATCTTGGACGCATGTCGTCATTTTGGGCCATATTGGCCGTCCTGGAGGCGTCTCGGGCCAGTCTTGGAGGCCATCTTGGACCGTCTCCGAGGGATCTTTCGTGGACTATGAGGCCCTGCGTGGTCTTTCCGTAATTGTTGAGGCCCTCTTGGGGGCGTTTTGTGGGCCCCATTGGGTCATCCTGGGGCGATTTTGGAGGCCTTCTGCTTTTCCAGAAGAGCTTATGTGCATCCGAACGTTGCGATTGCAATGCGTGATGTCTACTGGCCTGTTTGTTCCCCGAGTTGCGTTTGATAGCTTTTGGGGAACGCGAAGGTGAGAATGGCAGCAGTGAGGATTACGATTTGGTCTCACTCGCCGTACTAGGGGGGGCTCCTTGAGCAGAATTTTGGGTCGCCTCACGTCACGACTGGCCATGAACATGGAAAGCGGTTCAGGAGGTCTCGGCATAACAGAACAGTGTTGTACGGCTATTGATTTCCAGAGGGATGTCGTGTTTTGCCTTCAAACACATCTGCCCGTCGCTGCGTCATGGTGCCTGTGTGGTCAGACCTTGCGGTATATATTTCGGGCGCGAGCTATCGGACCAGGTGTTCCCCGAGCCGTTGCCGGAACTTTTCGAGTGGTCGGCGTCTGGATGCTAGACGCTCCGTTCCCCGAGTTTGTCTGGACAGGCTTCGGGGGACACGTGAGTGAGAGTGAGTTCGATGAGCACGCCGATCTGGTTTCGTTCGCCCATGATGGTCTCTCCTGGACATACTTTGGGCTCGCTCAACATCACGGCGGATACTTTCGGGCTCAGCGGGGCTGTCCAGGGCAGTCTTGGGTTCGTCAGGGGGGTGCGCTTATATGTATTTGAAACGTCTTCGAGAATGCATAGGTCCTCCATGACAGCCGGCTGGTCTGATGTTGAAGGTGCCGCGGCCTCGGTTCCCCGAAGTCGCTTTTGCTCGCTTCGGAGAACGCTCGCGGGATAGTTAACAATTGGAACGCCTCAGCGGCGAGGGCACTTCGATGACATGCAACTTTCGTGGTTTTTGCATGCATCATGTCCGTCCGCAGTGGCATTTGGGCTCGAGCTCTTTCGAATGCCTAACCTTTTGATTCGCTTCCGAGACAGGCCAAGGCCACGCCCAGCTCGTCCACTATTGGGTCGCCCCGTTTGGGCGCCCAGGCGAGCGTCGACGATTGTCTCGAGGACATCGCGGTTGTCGATGCGGCCGCTGCGCAGGATGAAACTGGCGGCGCTCCGGCGCTGTCTGGCGCAGAACGCTATCTCGCGGGGTTGCGCGCATCCTTGCCGACGACGCGGGCGGCCTTTCCGCGGGAGGAGGCGCGCCCTCATCCTGTCTTCGGCGGCCGGTGTGCCGCGCGTCACGCCGTCTGGGGAGAACCAGTTCTCGGTTCAGATGGTTCCGCGAAGCTCTATCGCGCAGGCGTCCGAGAACTGGCGATGCGGAGTTTGCCAGTCGAGTTTGCTGATGTGGAAGGCAGGGTTCCAGTTTTTATCCGCGCCACGTTGCAGAATCGGTTTCGCGCGGCGTGTGATGATGCTGTGGAAGTCGACAATGGCGATCGGGAGGGCGAGTATTTTCGAGAGCACTTGCCGCCGGCTGTCCGGGGAGATGCCCTGGCCTATGCCTGGCAGACGAAGAGCGCGAATGAGGCTGCGCTCGCTGCCGAGGCCGCCTTCGAATGCTTCGCCGATTTTTTCACGGAGGCGAACGAGCGGGGTTTCGCGCGACCACTAGCGCAGATTTTGGATTACATCAAGTCCAGGGACGACGTGGGCATCCTGAGCATATCGCCCGACGACGCCTGCTGCGCCGTCCTGGGAGGGGACAAATGCGATTTCCAGATCCTCCACCGTGCTTCTGGCAGGCCTGGACTGACGAAGCACGCTGCCCTCTTCCAGAAAGACAAGGGCCAGGCAGACCGTCATGGATGCTCTGGACCAGCTCCGCAGCGAGAATAACTTTGCGGAAGCGAGAGCGCTCATCGGTGCGGCCGCGCCAGCCTTGCGTGCTCTGTGCGATGCGAAGTCGGGAATTTCTTTCCGGGAAATATCGCAATCTTTCATTTCTGAGGCGGCGTGGCGTGCCCTGCGAGGTGCGCTGCGCGAGGGCGGGCATTGGTTGTCGGTCATGGAACGTCAGCGCTTGACTACGTGTTGCGGCTGCAGGGTGAGTGCCAGGATGCCACGCGGGGGGCGCGGAGGAGAATGGGCGGATTACACGCTGGAGCGAGAAGTCGCCGACTTGACGCACTGCCCCGAGGAGCATGCCGCGGAGATGACTCGGGCGCTCGAGGCGCGGGCACTTCTCGCGCCTGTCGACCGAGGGCGAAGCGCGGCAGCTTGCGAGAGAGCGGAGGGGGGCAGGCGTTCGGCCGAAGCTGCGAGGAGAGATGCGGCGGCCGTGGCCGCGGAGGACGAAAACTCCACTCGATGCCGAGCCGCGGCCGTTGCAGAGGAGGCGACAGAGCTGTCGCGACAGGAGGTGGCCGCGATTGCAAGGGCAGCGTTGAGCTGGTGGAGCAGAACGCGGAGCGCAGTGTTCAGCCAGGCGCTAATTAGGGGGCGCCAGAATGCTGGGAGATATCAAGGACGGTTGCGAGGCGGAGGTGATGGCGCTGCTGAGTTTGCCCAGTAGAGACGGGTGCACGACGCGAGACGGGCAGCTGGAACGGATCAGAAGAGCGCGCGAGGCTCTGGCTCGCGCTTTGCAAGGGGCGGATCAGATGACTAGAAACTATGGTGGAATCGATGAGGCGCTGCTATGCCGGGCGAAAGGCAAGGTGAAGCAGGGCGTCCTTCGCTTTGTGAAATCGACGACTGCGCGAGCTGGCGCTGATCCCGCGCAGCCGTCCGCCACTGGTTTAAGTCGCTTGGGCGCCCGGGAGACCGGGCGCGCGGGCCAGGAAAACGGCGCGCCTGCCTCGGGCCAGGGCGACGGCGTTTCGGGCGCCGACGGTGGGCGCCGCGCTGGGGGCGCAGAGGACGACAATGAAGCGCAGTGTGAGATGCTTTACTCCACGCAGCGCTCGTCGCCCTCGGAGTCCGACGACGGCAGGCCCTGCGAGGGCCCCACTTCTGAGGGCGAGGACTCTGGCGACGGCGGCGAGTCGGGCATCGCGAAGGACAGCCAGCAATGATATCCAGTGACAGAACGGAACAGTCGGGCGGAGATGCCGTTTCGCTGCCCAAGAGGCAGAGCGCGTGGCAGAACCTGGAGACGCGCCAGTCGTCGCTGATGATCCCATGACATCAGGCCCGCGAGCCGAGGACGTTCACATGGGCAAACACGGCGATGACGACATCCAGGGGGGCGAGGAGGAGGAGGGCGTCGACGATTTCAGCGACGTCAGCGACGACTCGGACTTGTTCCACATCGAAGCAATGGACGTCGGGGCACCACGCGCTGACGAGGACAAAGACGAGGCCATCGTAGGAACCATCGCCCCTCATCTTCGGGAACGCCGGGTGTTCCCTCCAGACGGCGAAGATCCCCTCGGAGAGACAGTTTTCGGAGACACGGCGACAGATCGGGGGCGGCTGGAGATGCAGAGCGGCTGTGAAATGTCCAAGATGCACGGCTGCTTCAAGGGATAGCCGCTGGACATGCAATTGCCCGTTCACTATGGGGCGCATGGAACCGGAACGCCCCCTGTGCCTGTACCTGTCGGATAAGCACAGAAAGGTCGAGATGGCGCTCGTCCCCGAGGCCTGGCCCGTGCCAGATGACAATCGCAGGACCAAGGGGGTCTCTGCGAATATTTGACTACAACCTTTTTGGAGAACGATTGTTTTGATGCTGAAGTGACGGTTACCGCGACAGTCAGTCTGCCTGTGAGCTCTGGCAATCTTCTCGCTCCCATCATGTAAAGGGGCTGCTGTTATTTCACGGGGCCGCTGAAACATTGGGGCGCCATTCGGGGAGCGGGCTGCCCAGGAGACATCGGGAACGTCTCCTCCGTTCCGTTTCCCATGGCATTTTCTTTCAAACGGCGTTCCCCGAAACAGTTGCACAGCGCAGTTCGGGGGGCAAATTTGGGCAGGAAGCGCGAGCGGATGCGGGGGTCCTCGAGCGCGGGGGGGCCTGGCCAATCGCGCAAATCCCACCCGATGAAGCCGGAGTTGCAGCGGGGGCGGCCGCCCTTCATGGACGACAGCTTGGAAGCCGTGGCGTGCTACCTCAGAGCCACGGAGAAGCGCGAACAACGGGCCCCCCCTTGCAATGGGCCGCCCACTGACAGGCGGCAGCTGGCGCAGGTTGTCGAGGCCGTTCACGGCGACAACATCAATGGCTACACGTGCCTGTGCTGCGCCCGGATACGCGCGTGGGCAGGGAGATGGAAGTGCGTTTGCGACTGCTCTGACACGGACGGAAAACAGAAGTGACGATATTTTGCGACGCGCGCGGATATTCGCATGTTGAGCGTGGAGAGAAAGCTCCGGCCAATGCACGAAAAACACCCCGACGCATTTGCCGATCATTTTGGGGCGGCTACGTTTAAGCAGCGGCATGCTGAAGACCGTCCTGGGATCAGCGCCAATCCGTTCCTGAATGCCAATCACTTCTACGAGGATAACTGCGAATGGCAGCGGGTACTGATGCTGCGGGACGGAGCTACGACGCCCATCCTGCGCTGTCCCGAGGATGTTGCGCTGGGGCCTACAGGCAGGCGCGCGACGCACGTGCTCTGCCGCAACTGCCAGGTTCCGACATGCACGGGCTGATGGTGGACATCCCAGAACGAGAAATCAAATCACATGATCCCCATGGCTCTAGCGAGCGACAATTTCGCTGGGCACGTCCCGGATATCATTGCAATATACAAGGTCCGATGGCTGGAGGCTGCCATCGCACAGCCGCGCTGGACAAACACCCTCGTTAATTGCGTCGACGGTGATCACGGGCATCTGATGAATGAAAGCATGCAGAACCAGAGGAGTCGGACGGTTGTCAGCGGCTGCTGCGTCAGCTATCGCATGCGACGTCTTCGAATCGAATCGTTTTATGCAATAACGGAAGTTCTTGACGTGCCCACTTCGGGAAGAGTGTTCCAAGTGCGTTTTGCGAGTTCACCTGCAGGTGGCAGGGGTTGGCATGAAGAAGCACCTGGAGCAGGTCTCGGCGCGGCCTCGCGTCTTGGCGCGCCTCCTGGGCCACCTCGTCGGCCGGGGCCATCTTGCGTTCCACGGCAGAGGGTCAGCCGCGGAGCTGCAGGAGAGGATGGGGGCGGTGATCGGCGGCGAGCACCCTGAGACGGAGCTCAAGAAGCCCGAAGACGAACGAGAAGGGGGCGCCCCCGCGCCCATCCTTTCCCTGCTGGAAGATCCTGAACGCGGGGAAGAGGAAGAAGGCGATGCAGAAAACAAGCCGCAGAATAGACTTCGCATCTACAATAATAAGAACCACGCCAGGGGATGAGAGAGATCTCTTTACAGGCGCCTCGAAGGTATTCGCCCCCGTGCCACGCGCGTAGACAGCGGCGCCAAGTCTGCGAGCGATCCCGCCACGCAGAGCGAAGAGGCTCGACACAAGTGGGGCGAACTGGGGAGATCTAGACAGGGGACGAGATGATAACTCAGTTCTCCGAGGCGCTGCCCTTTGTTCCCGCGCGCGTGCGGCGGGCCCGATTTCTTCGTGCAGAAGCGCGCCGGGCGCTCGCCAGATGCTCCGCCGGTCGGCTTTCAAGAGTGCGTTGCCGGAATGGCGCGGCGCGCGGAGTCGCAATTTTGGGACGATTGGACAGCGCTTCCCATGATGCGGCACGCGTTGACCGTAGTCTGAGCATACGCTTAGCATTCTGAGCGCGCATGAAAGTGGAGCAGTTTCAGCTATTCGGGCGGATGCCTCCGAGAAAATCGTCGCCTTGCAGAAGCTCTACGAGGTTCTCCAGAACGGGTGCGTCGGTGCAGGGTATCAGGCATGGGAAGAGTTGGAGCACCTCATGGGAATGAATCGTGGAGCGTTTTTCGAGCTTCGAGCTTTATGTCGAATGGTATGTTCTCCGAAAGATTTGGGAATTTGCCGGGGGAGCGCTGTCGTTCGACGCGAAGGTAGTGAACCTAATGATTGACGAACGTTGGGTGGCATCGGTCAGCCGCGTTCCCCGAAGGCTCCTGGGACACCATTCGGGGAACAGTTTCGTTCAAAAGCTGTTCCCCGACAGTTTCTGACATCTTTCGGGGAACAACATCGGTGAACGATGGTGTCTCGTTTATTATCATTGCGGGCCGAAGATTGTCTGAATTCGTTGTCGCTAAAAGCCTCTGGACTCATTCGGGAAGCAACTTGATCGACGATGTTGTTTTGTTTTCTCCCGGAAAGGGCACAGGCCCAGGGTTTTCTTTTAGATGTTAAACCCCCGGTTTCGATTTGAAGGAGGCCAGCGGAATTATTTTGCGATAGATGGCGAGTTTGGAGGGTGTCGGCGGCCTTATTTTGGAGGATGTCTCGAGCGAAACGCTTGTTTGCTCTCAGAATGTGTTGAGGATGTCTCGAGCGAAGCGCTGGTTTTACAGCGTTGGGGGATGTCTTGAGCGAAATGCTTGATTGTTTTAGAATGTTTGAGGATGTCTCGAGCGAAACCCTGGTTTTGCAGAGTTGGGGTATCGAACAAAAACTACCCGAACACATGTCCCAATACAGAAAAGTGATGGTTTCTTGCTCTGAACAAGGGTTGCGCTTTGGGGGCCTCTCCAGGGAAGACGTTGCGAGTGTGCCTCGAGCGGGAGCGCGACTTCAGCGCATCCAAGTCACGCAGAGGGGGCATCTAACATGGCTGTCCCGAGCTGGACCCATGTGTTTTTTCATGTTCAGGCCACCCAAGGAGATTTCTAACATGATTGTCCCGAGCTGGAACCACGTGTTTTTCGTGCCCAGGCCACTCAGGGGGTATCTAACATGGTTGTCCCGAGCTGGCACCGTGTTTTTACGTGTCCAGGCCACGAACACGACGCTTGTCCCCAGCACGTTCTGCAGCGCGTCCCCTTGGCACGTCCCGCGGTGCGTCCCCGTGGCACGTCCCCTGGCACGTCGCTTGGTGCGTCCCTTGGAATTTTCCGCGGCGCGTCTTCCTGGCATGCTTCCTTGTCAATTAGCTCTGGGGCAGCTACTATGTGGACTATATTGGACTATGTGCTCAGGCAGCTCGAGCTTAAGAGCCAGATCAGTTCGGTCAGGATTCGGATGCAAAGGAGGACTCGATCCACACACTCTAGGGCACAATCGCGGCATAGCACATCGCAGTTCAGCACGGCTCAGCACAGCACAGCCCTCGGCACGGTACATCAAGATCGATTCATTCACCCAGCATTGCAACCTGGCAACTTTCTTGGCACGTTCCGTGGCGCGTCCCGTGGCGAGTCCCCCTGGCACGTCGCGCGGCGCGTCCCCTGGCACGTCCCGTGGCACGCCCATTGGCACGTTCCGTAGCACGTCCCCTAGGCACGTCCCGCGGTGCGTCCCCATGGCACGTCCCTTGGCACGTCGCTTGGCGCGTCCCTTGGAACTTTCCGCGGCGCGTCTTCCTAGCATGCCCCCCCTGCGACTTAGCTCTTGGGCAGCTACTATGTGCTTGGGCAGCTCGAGCTTAAGATCCAGATCAGTTCGGTTAGGATTCGATCCACAACGCTATAGAGCGCAATCGTCACGTGGCACATCGCAGTTCAGCACGGCGCAGCACAGCACTGATTTCGGCACGGCACATCAATATCGATACACTCAGCATTGCAACCTGGCGCGTTTTTTGGCACGTTCCGTGGCGCGTCCCGTGGAGAGTCCCCCTGGCACGTCGCGCGGCGCGTCCCCTGGCACGTCCCGTGGCATGTCCATTGGCACGTTCCGTAGCGCGTCCCCTCGGCACGCCGCGGTGCGTCCCCGTGGCACTTTTTTGGGCACCTCGCTTGGCGCGTCCCTTGGGACGATCCGCGGCGCGTCCTCCTGGCATGTTCCCCCTGTCAATTAGCTCTGGGGCAGCTACTATGTGCTAGCGCAGCTCGAGCTTAAGATCCAGATCAGTTCGGTCAGGACCCGGATGCAAGGGAGGACTCGATCCACAACGCTCTAGAGCACAATCGCGGCATAGCACATCGCAGTTCAGCACGGCTCAGCACAGCACAGCCCTCGGCACGGTACATCAAGATCGATACACTCAGCATTGCAACCTGGCAACTTTCTTGGCACGTTCCGTGGCGCGTCCCGTGGCGAGTCCCCCTGGCACGTCGCGCGGCGCGTCCCCTGGCATGTCCCGTGGCACGTCCATTGGCACGTTCCGTAGCGCGTCATCTAGGCACGTCCCGCGGTGCGTCCCCATGGCACGTCCCCTGGCACGTCGCCTGGCGCGTCCCTTGGGACGTTCCGCGGCGCGTCCTCCTGGCATGTTCCCCTGTCAATCAGCTCTGGGGCAGCTACTAGTTATGTGTTTAGGCAGCTCGAGCTTCAGATCCAGACCAGTTCGGTCAGGACTCGGATGCAAAGGAGGACTCGATCCACAACGCTATAGAGCTCAATCGTGGCATGGCACATCGCAATTCAGCACAGCGCTGTCTTTGAAACGTTGCCATGTCGTATATTTCCCTACCTAGTCTCTGCTTAGAGGGTTCTTACTCTCTTTCTTAAAAGGGGCCGGGCAGTGGAAATCGCCCCGGGCGGTTCCCCCGGCATCCGCCCCGCGGTTCCCCCAGTTGCGCCCCCTTAGCATAGCGCTGCTTATCTCATCTTAGCTTAGCTTATTCCCTGTTTCTGCGTGGCAGGGGTTTGCTAAGAGTTTTACTTCTGTCGCCGAAATGTTGCTCAAGCTAAAAGCCCTAGCATGATTGCGGGGGCCGCCACGAGCAGTGCGATCGCCGCCTTGTGTCTGGCGGCTGGCGTGCTGCTCCACCCTGCCAGTTGGCTTGGCGACGGGTGGTGCTCGGGCGGTTTCGTGGGAGTCATCTGGACGCCCAGTACCACCAGCACGACCGAGACCAGTGTGACCTGGACGAAGGTGGTCGTCGACGCTCCGATCCCCTGCCCTCCGCCCGTGCCCCTTGAGTGCCCGCGCGATGGGCCAGAGCTTCCACGTCCTGGGTGAGGGCGTGACGGGCTCGACGGTGGAGATCCCCAGCTGGCTGCTCCTGCTGGCGTTGGGCGGCGGAGGGGCGGGGCTTGCCTGGGGCGCCTGGCGCTGCTGCGCGCGGAGGGCGAGCGACCTCCGTCGGAGGCAGCCTCTGGGCGAGGCCCGCCTGCAGATCAAATGATTCGCCTGCCGCCGAGGTCGCTCTTCGAGACGGTCGCTCACCCCGCGCCAGGATCGAGGGGGCTGGTCACGTTTTCGAGCGACCCCGGGTGGGCCCACGAGAGGCTCTTCTTGTGGCCTGTCCCGCCCGACGCCGACGGCGGCCACTGGGCCAGCTTCGTCTATACTCCGGATGGCGAGTTCTACGTGGAGCAGGAGACCGACTACAGCAGCTCGGCCCTGCTGACAGGGCGGAAGGGCTGCCAGGCGGGCGTCCCGCAGGTGGTGGCCTTCAGCCGGGCGCTGGAGCCGGATGAGGTTTCGGAGCCCCTCGAGATGGCCTGAGCGGAGGCAGTCGCGATGACGGGAAGCGAGGGCCCTGACCCCAGCGTGCCCGACGCGGTGAACTGCAGGGGGGGTCGGCTGGACCTCCCGGCCTACTCCCCAGCGCAGGCGCCGCGCCTCAGTGCCTCGGGCCGACGGCTCCGGGGTAAGCAGGCCATGCCCCTGCCCGTCGGCGACGTCGAGGGCTCGGGGGCCGCGCTTGTGCCAGCGTCGGAGCCGGGCGGTGACGCCCCCACGCCCCTGTCAGAGGCGGCCGACGGGTATGGCTGGCTGTGCAGCGACCTAGCCTGCTGGGACGGGGCCTTCGCCTTCGGCGCCGAGTTGCGTCCCGGCCAGCCGCCGTATGTCGGGCTGCGTGGGCGCGGCGAATACGGCATCGCCACCGACCGCAGCGAGGGCCATCACCCCGTGGAGCTCGTCGAGCTCGGTCGCGTGGCGGAGTGGCGCGAGGCCAAGCTGCTGGGGGCCTCCCGGCTCCGTGGCGGTGGCGAGCCGCTCGAGAAGAGGCTGTTCGACGACGGGCCACCTCGGCCGCCCGCGCTGGTGCCCTCCACGGCCCGTGCCGAGGCGGTCGAGGTCGACGACCTCCGCGCGTGCTGCATCGACTACGACGACGCGGGGGTCAGATGCAGGGAGCGGAAGAAGGTGCTGCAGGAGGCCACTCAGGAGAGCGCCCAGACTGCTGGGCTCAGAGGGCCCCCAGCGCGCCTCCCCGTCTGCAGGAAGTTCCACAAGCACGGCGGGACGCCCAAGGCCTGGTTCGCCGAGCGGGCTCGCGAGGTCGGCATCTCGCGCAAGGGCCGGGCCTGGCATGAAGTCGAGTGCCTCATCGAGTGTCTCTGGCTGGCCGGCAGCTACGACCATCTGAACGCGGGGGCCGTCGCGGCCCTGGAGGTGGTCGCCCGTCGGCTGCTGCAGCGCGTGGGGGCCTACGCGAAGGGCGCGGGCAATCCCAATTGGAGCGCGGCCAAGCACTTCAGCGCCCTCCGCGGCCCTGGACCTCGCCCCCGAGGAGATGCGCATGCGCGCCGCGCGCCAGGCAGAGGACGAGCTGGAGCTGGAGAGCCTCCGCGTCCGCGCCCGCGCGCCCCACTCGGGGGCCGCCCCGGGCGCCGGCGCCGCGGCCGCCGCCGCTCTCACGGGGGGGGCCCCCTCGCAGGCGGAGGGCGACCAGGCCGGCGGAGGCAGAGCAGGAGGAGGGAGAGGTAGAGGCGGCCGCGGGCGAGGCGCGCGGCCGCCGGCCACATGGCGCTGGACGCCCAGGGCGACGATGGCCCGACCGTCGCCCGCGAACCCCGCAGGGCTCGCGCCTTCCTGCCTCTCCCTCCCCCGAGTGTCGCGGGCATCCCCGCGGCCGCCACGGGCGGGAAGCGCGGGCGGCTGCTGCGAGACATCAACGCGGCCATCGAGTAAATATGCTCTTCTCCGCCTCGTAATAATATAACTTATAATCACACTTGCATGCTGCGCGCTGTATGGCTTGAACTTATGCTGCGTACTGCATCTGTTTGTTTACTCAAGCAAGCTACTCGTTTGCTTGCAGGGGAAAAAAGGCGCGAGCTAGCCCGCTCGCGCGCGCCGCGGGGTTGCCCCCGCGTCGTCGTCGCGTCGCTGGCCAGCCGGCCACCTCCCTTACCATTCCTGATATAGTAAACTTGCTTACCAGATACTTGTCTTATCGATGTCTCAGTCCGCCCCCTCTCTCCCTGAGCAGAGTGAACATGAGATCTCAATTCCTTTGGCATCTTACCCCGATTCTCAGAGGGAAGACGGGTTCTCAGCCGAAGCGCGCGGCATAGTCGAAGCGGGGTCATGCCAACCAGGAGCAGGATCTTCGGAAGAATCCCGCGACTTAGTCGCTGCGGGTATGAGCTATGATAAGACTGATTATATGTCTGTCACTTCGCGAAGCGCAGATCATTGCGCTGTACAACATGACGGACATGACCCTTATGAGAGCGGCTCTGGCCAGGGCCACCTTCCTTTTTAAAAAATCGCCACTCGGGCATCTAGGGGTAGAAGCACTGAAGGGGCTGTAGAGACGTCGGAAGATTGCTCTCCCTCTGGAGTTCCGATCGGTAATCGTGGACGAACCCCAGACCCGCATGGGCGAAACGGCGCAGCAGCAATACCGAGACGAAGTGCACTCTCGTCTTGGATCGCCGAATCGACGGAGCCGATCAGCCCTATTCCGAATGCTACACATACAATCGTACCGGCCGCTGGTGAAGCCAGTCGACCAGGGGAAGTCCACGAGACCGCAGGCGTGTGCCCCAGCGTCCCAGGCGAATGGGGAGGTACGAGTAGAAATGTTCCCGTCCCAATAGCGTTAAATGGACAATTCGGCCAAGACAGCGATGATCCTGTTGATAAAGAGCATGAAATAAACTCCATGGAGGAAGATTTTGACTGTATCAACAAAGGAATTTCTCTGAGCCGAGAATTGTCTTCATTAATGGAAGCAGACCGCCCCGCCCAAGGCGAGAGGTGGTCCCCAGATGAATCTGATGAAGACACCAGTGAACTGACGCCTCAGGCGGACAGGACTGAGACTCAGGCGAAGCATGACAGGGAGTCTACAGGACGGACTCCTGCACCTCGACTTAAGAAGCAGAGAAACGAGGATTACGGATTAAACGACTCACTACTTAAAGAAGGTTTCTATCGTCCTGCCGTCGCCTCAGGCGATTGGCAACCCTCGATACCGGTTGTTGTTGAGGATGAGGAAATGGTCGGACAACCAGCTTCGTACACTGAGCTTATAAGACAGGGCGAGAGGGATGAGGAGCTGCTAGAGGTACCTAAACCCCCAGAAGGTACGTTCGTGCGCCCAGATCGATGCGTCTAGTAGGGGAAGACCCAAAATGCCAAGATCCGGAGCGAGATCTACTTCAAGGAGCAACAGTAACATATCCATAATGGAGGCATGCTGGAACCCAAACTTGGACTGCGCGCCTCAGGCGGAAAGCAGATGCCCAGGTAAAGCCAACAAGCCAGAAGGTGCATGTAGGCATCCAGTATGCAAGAGTTGCTCTGAAGTATGCCCTAAGTGTAGTATCCAATGGTTGCGTGTAGAGTGCTTTCCCATGGACGAGCATAGCTGCACATATCTTCGCATGCAAAATATTCAGGATCAGGCTAGACTAGCTGAGGCTAAAACCCAGCGAGAGTTTCTGACCAGCGAGCACAGCTGGCCGAAAGGGCCCGACTGGATCGAGAAGAGATGGCAGCAGCCATGGCAGAAGTTCGGAAGACGTTCGAGGCTGAAAGACTCGCTCTAGCCATGGCTGCTAGAGAGCGAGAACGAGAACTGGTGGAACATATGCACCATCAGACCGCGGCCGCTAAGCGGCAGGCGGAGATAGAAGCCGAGAGTAGATATCTAGAAATGATGGCTTCAGAACGACAGGCCGTTGTGGCGGCGACTAATCAGTCTGTTGATGCCAAAACGGTCACCGCTGCTGTTGCGGTGGCTAGAGTAGAAGGAGAACAAATCGCTACAGTCAGGGCGGAGGGAGAAAAGCATACCCTTCAAGAAGAGCTTAACAACGCCAGGCTGGAAGTGGTTAACACTCAAGTAGTAGCTGCGAAAATAGCTGACCATAACAGTCAATATCGGCAAGAACTTAGGTCGCATGAAGATGCCAGAGCATCCCTGCAGCGCATGCAATCGAGCAATGATAAATGCCCGCCGGCCAAGCCGACTGGGACGGACAGACGACCATTGCCAGCGGCTCAGTCGTCTGGCACAACATCTGTTCCGCCTCACGCGGGATCGTCAACTTTGCAGGTGAAGGCGGTAGCGCAGCCTCAACCCGCAGAAAGGGGAGAAACTCAAGCAGAGAGTTCCATAGTCGCCCAATGTTGTTCGATTTGCTTACACCCGAGGACGGGTAATTGCGATGGCTGCGGCTTGCCGGCTTGTAAAGATCATTTCGATGCGAGTACTAGAAGGTGTTCCAGGTGTACCCTACAGAAGAGTGAAAGGTCAGCTGCCAATGTGGGAGAAGACGAGGCCGTGGCGGACGCAGCTGAGTCAGAGAAAAGAATGATGAAGCTTAAAGCTATCATCCCGAATCCAATTCCGTATGCAGAAAGTAAACAAGGAAAAGGGTTCACCTCGAGTTCATTCGATTTGCCGTTACTTTCACAAGAAACTCCTGTGAGGCCGTGGTTGCGCCACAACTTTGCCGTTCCCGGTCCTGCCCTAGAGGGCCCGGCTAAGCCGAGCACCCCTGAGAATGGGTTTCCAATCGACATAAAATTGACAGGGTCTAATGACGATAATCTTTTTGTCACTTACCACCCGTTTTCTAAGGGTGGCCCTGTGGGGCCGACGGCGGCTAAGTCGTCGGGCGAGGCAGGACAAGACGGATAATGGGGCGACAAGAGTGACGCTCCGAATGCCGAGATCATGTCGACGCGCGACGATGACAACGGTAAACGACCATATAAATCGCCTCCAGGGGGGCCGGGGGGTTCGGGACCCTCAGATGGTGGAGGCGGCCGTGGGGGGCCTCAGGGCCCCGGCGGGCCGCAGGATCCAGTAGTTATTTACGAAAGTACGCCGTTGGACCAATGGAGACAGGTTAGAAACAATCAGAAGATTGACTTGCTGGACATCCCCGATGTTACAGACATACGGGAGTGGCACATGCATGCGGCCCGCGCGATCGCTGGATCGTCGCCTGAGAGCCAAGCAGCGCAGCACTGGATCACGGAAGCTATGAACCCAGCTGTGGACGATGAGCAATTGAAAGATGCAGGGCGCATTCAGCGTCTTGATCTAACGGCCGCCACCAATCTGGTTGAGAAATTAAATAAAATGCGAAGAAATCGCAGCCAGCCTGGTCATCACATTTATTTCCTCCAACAGATCACTCGGATGGAATACAGCGCCCAGAATGAGGGAAGGCTCTTAACTGGACGCGAGATGGTACGAGCCATTCGCCATTGTTGTTCTGTTAGGTCGGAGTTGGGTCAACATCGCATTTCGCGTGATATCATTAAGGTTGTTATTGACACCCGCGAGCCAGATGCCGATCTGTATCATTTCTACAATGAATGGACAGACGTATACCAACAGCTCTACGGCGCCCGACCTCCGTCTGATGAAATGAGAGCCTCGATTCATGCACACTTCATTGAGCAACGCAGAAAGCCTAGCAAGTTGAGTTTCGCATGCCAGCTCTACGACATGTACGGGGATAAATGGGACAGGGCGTGAAGACTTACGAATGGCTGATGGAGCAGATTGAAGACATGATGTTGCGAGAAAAAGAAGAGTGGAACATCAGCGCGCATGAGAGTACCTTGAATCAACGTGCTCGGCAGGCAAGGTTTGGCGGAGGTGGGGGCAATGACAACCGAAGGAATGCCGGCGACAAAGCCGCACCGGCAGAAGTAGCAGCTAAACTGGGGAAACCCACTGATGTCATGAAAAGCGGATTGACTAAGGGCGAGACGACGTGTAAGCACGTGCGCAAGGGCGAAACCTGCCCGTATGCGGGGAAAGGTTTTCCTCTTAATCATAAGAAGCCCAAGAATGCCGCACCGGCTCAGCCGAGCACGGGGAAGAAGTCCAATGCCGCTCCTGCCCAGGATAAGAATCCAAGAGGGAGATCTAAGGACCGAGGCCGAAAGGGGCAGAGTCGATCGCAGACCCCGATGGGCGGACGTGGAAAAAGAGCGCAACAGAGAAACAGGAGTCAATCCAACCAATCGCGTGGGACAGAGAGCGCTATACCATGCTACGCGTGGTCCCGAGATCCCAAGAATTGTCGAGGACCAGCAGACGGTTGCAATAAGGCCCACAGAGGGTTGACCGATGCTGAGAAGCTTAAACGCGATAAATGGGAGCAAGCGAAGCTTGACGCGGGACAATATTTGGGATACGAGCGCACAGTAAAACAAGCCAATGCCGCCGCCGCCAATGTCCCATCGACTGGAGGAAACGGTGGCTCGAGAGCCTCTGGTAATAACTCCGACAAACGTAAAAAGGATGGAGACAATAACAAAGGTAAAGGCAAAGGCAAAGATATGACCTGTCGCTCTTTCAAGGAAACAGGCAAATGCTCGCGTGGCAAGGAATGTTGGTTTGCTCAAGCCACGGATGGGCATCCGTCACAATGGCTCCGCACTGGCGGCTCAGCCGACAGCGCAGGAGGAATGATGCAGATAATTTTGTTAGGTGCCCTTTCCTGTCTTCCTTGCTCGACGGATGTGGCGCAGCCCGCGGCGGTCAAATCGAAAGCGGGGGGGTCAGAAGAGACCCGCTGACCAAGTCAGCTCGGGTGCCACATCGTGCTCCGCTCCGTTGTTTCGGGGCCTCCCAGGGCAGAAACAGACCAGCCCTAAAATTTTGAAAGCTGTTGCTGGTACCGGCGGAGGAGACTACAGGA